CCGCATCGGGCTCCCTGCTGCTCAGCGGGGAGTCTGCTTCTCCCTCTGACCCTCCCCCCTCTCATGTGCTCTCTCTCTCTCTCATTCTCGCTCTCTCAAATAAATAAATAAATAAAATCTTAAAAAAAAAAAATCCAGTGGCCAAGGCTGCTGATGGGAGCACATCCTGTGAGGTGGGGCTGGGAGGTGTAGAGCTGCAGGATGCCCGGGGCAGTGTCCTCACCCCCAGGGTAGAGGTTGTCCCCAGGGGAAGAGCATTGGCTATCAATGGAAGGAAGCCCCTGAAAGGCTTTAAGCAAAGGCTCCAAGACACCCGATTAAATTTGGAGGAGATTGGATTCTAAAGGGTAAGGAAGAGTAAGTGGTTGAGGCTGGGGGTTGTCATGAGAAGCAGGGGACAGTGCAAAATTAAAGCGTGGAGTCCCTTGTTCCAAAATTATTACAAATCTCAAGATGGTGACAGCAGAGCATTAAATCAAACATGGGGCCCTGGGTGACCCCCCGGGCTGTGTGCCCGGTGAAGCTCGCCGTGGCAGGATCCACGAACAGAGGCCCCATTCAAGGTCTGCTTTGGAGGTAATGAGCTGATCAAGATTTGGGCAGAGACTGGACACTGGGTGGGATGTCTTGCCTGTGGCTCTCCTAGGTGTCACTGGGCCATGCACCCCTGCCCCCAACGAAAACCCCTTCTCCATGGGAATGACCGGGCTGAGACGCTGGTGTTTGTGGGGGGGTGTCTCCCAGGCACCAATTAGATGCTACATTGTCGCAGATGTTATGGAAGTGTGTCCTGAAGTCCTGTGTTCAGGTAAGGGCCAGAGGAGAGCCTCATGCCCACCTTTGGGGATGGGTCTGTGCTGGGGCCTTGACCTCTCTACCCAGCCTTCTGGCCACCCTGATGTGGCTCCAGGACCTGGAAGAGGCACTTTCTGGCTTATTCATCTTCCTAACTGCTGGTCACTGGTCCGCGTCCCTTCTTCCAGGAGCCCCGCCCCCAGGCTGCAGCTCCAGGTCTTGACCACCCCCCCAGGTTGCGCAAGGAGGCCGGCTTTATGCTCTCCGACCTCCCCGTGTCCCCTCTTCAGGGCACTGGGGTACTCTGACACTATGAGTGTGCTTAGCAATTTGGGGGTTCCAGCCCTGTCTGCACTTCCCATCAGGTACCTGGCCCAGAAGAGGGCTCATTTCTCCTCCTCTCCTGTCTCCCCACCTTCTCCCCTCCCCTAGCCCGGCCCCTCCCCACGCCTCCGCGACCCCCTCCCTCTCGCCCTGCCCGTCTCCCC